AATAAATAAATAAAAATTAAATTAGCAACATACAAATGAGTTTACATTGTTCTTAATTTTCATTAGTGTAATTAGAAGTGCTTCCAGCATTGTCGTAACAAGACAAAACAGTTTCACCGCAGTGTTCTGTGGAACTCTGTCACCTCAAGGCAACACAGCCAAGCCAAGTTTTCGCATAGTGTACATATTTATAACTACTGTATTGTATGTACTCTATATTACCCCAGCATAAGTACCATAGACACACAGAGGGCTAATGACTATCAGTGCAATCTGCTTCATAATATGAACTTGATGAGAGAGGCAAAAGTTATACTTTCACACAAGCCACATAAAAAGTGAGTAAATACAAGTTTGAAGTGAAATATTTGTTGTTTGACTCCTAAGCCTATGCCAAAAGCGAAAGAGGCATTGATCAAGGGACCGGTAAATGAACAAAATAAATAGAGTAGATGGAGTAGAGAGTAAGTAAATATACTGACACAGCTGGTTGAACAATGGTTTAAAAAAAATGTTTTAAAAAAGCAGGAACGCCTTACATAACCACAGATCATCTGGTTAATCTTGTAAAAAAAAAAAAACAATAGAGCTACAAAAAAGCTTTTGTTGGCTTTTACTTCATATAAAAAAGGGGGAGTTTTTTCATCATCTCCAAATCAATTTCAAAGTATAAAAGTGAAAAAGTGTACTTTATTTTAAGGTTCAGTTCTTGATATTAACAAACCATTAACTATGACGTTTGCCCCAATAAACTCCCAATTTGTTGCTTATTAATACTTAATAAGGCAGTTGTTACGTTTAGGTATTGGGTAGGATTAAGGGTGTAGAATATGGTCATGCAGAATATGTGCTTTATAAGAACTAATAAATAGCCAATAAGTAATTAATAGGCATGCTAATAAGCAACTAGTGAGAATTGGTCCCTATACTAAAGTGTTACCAAGTTTTCTTGACCATAATCTACTAGAGAACTACATGGATTCTTTAAAAGTACTTTCAGAAGTGAATCTGTAAGTGCATGACTCTCCAAAGAATGCATCTCAAATGGTCTTTGACCTTGTGATGCATGACAAGTCCATTAAAGAGCTTCCTGTTGAATGATGTCCTGTTTTCATGTTAGCAAATGAAAAATATGCAAAAACAGTAGCTGCTGAAAAACATAGGCTACAATATGGTGCATTATCAAACCAGACGTTTGAATCAATCTGAATGACCATAATGTTAAAAAGAAAGGAAACCTTCCACAATCAAGCAAATACTTGAGCTCTGTCTCACTTCCTATACCTTCTTGCCCACTTTGCATGTAGAAAGCATGAAATATATATTCTGTGAAGCCATAAAACCAGTAAGGGCACACGGCTGCCCAGCAACCTGATGGAAAGCTCAGGTTAATAATCATCTTACCTGCCATTACACTTTTTAAATACAGTCTGGCTGAACAGACATGGACACAGCTGGAATTTGGCTTAACTATCCCCTGTGCTGGCACAAATGCCTCTTGCAGGTTATTAGGGAAACCAAATATCAAGTAAGTGACATTAAACCAGATTAAGCATCTGTTGTGCATACAGAGAAGGGCAAAGGGAGGTAAAGGAGGGTTAGTGCAGCTTGCCACTATAAATACTGTTAATTAATAAAGGGTCACATTTAAACTGAGATCATTTGGCTTTACAAACTTCATTTTGACTATAAAAATGAATGAATGAAGCACTGGACCTTGTAAATAAGTGAGGGAACACGTAGCGCATTTAATAATTTACCAGGAAGATTCGTTACAGAGGATCAAAGTTCTCTTTTATGAGTATGATGAGAAAACGACCCAGAAACCTTTGGCAACATGTGTTAACATTTTCCCTCAAAACTAACTATTTTAGTTATATTTGAATCAATTTCACTTGTGCTTATTCATCCATATTCATATAGGCTATTATATATTCACAAGAATTGTATGTGCAACTTTGTTTCAGATAACAACCAGACCTGTGCAAAACTATGCAGACAAATTTAAGTAAAAACAATCACATTTGTTATTTTTCAAGAGATAGTATACAATAAGTAGCTAATTAATAAATTGGTACATACCATTCTGTCATCCCATCTGATTTCATCAAATGTGCACATGCTCCCCATTCGATTCATTTTAGCTTAATGTATCAAAACTCAAAAGACAACAGTAGCCTACTTCAGTAAATAACGTCAGATAAAAGCTTAAGTTGAATATCCCGCTGCGCGCGCGAACTCGTCGCTGTTGTGTGTTGTTGTGTTCTGATATCGTCAGTCGCGCTGAATAATAAATATCCACGGTGCAGGTCTCGCCTCGAGCTGAACGGTTCTGTCAGACACTCCTCTCCTCCCCTGCCCTCCCCTCCCCTCCCTCTTGCAGGTTTCACGGGTCGTTACAAAGCGTCAGAGTGAAATCTGTCGTGTGACCTCATTGCTTCGGCATCTCTCTCGTTTGTTTCGCCTCAGCCCGCGGGAACAGCGTCATGTGGCGTGTTTCACCTGAGCGACACGATCTCATTCCACTATCCCGAGGTTAAGGAAAATTAAGCAATGCGATTTGATAGAAAATATCTTAAAAGTTAGTCCGTTTCTTCAGAAAGGTAGCCTGAAAACATAGGCCTGCCTAAGGTAAGTCAGCAGACACGTTTTAAAAGCAAAAGTAAAGTCGAAGGACATCAAGAAGTGTGACTGCATAAAAAATTCATAATTTTCACAGCTGAACATTAAATAGCTGGATATGTGTTGGATAATTAGTTATAATAACAACAACGACAACAAATGATGATGATAGAAATATAATAGAATAAAACAAAAAGTTAAAGGAAATATATGTCAAGTCAAGTCAAGTCACCTTTATTTATATAGCGCTTTTAACAATACAGATTGTGTCAAAGCAACTGAACAGCATTAATTAGGAAAATAGTGTGTCAATAATGCAAAATGACAATAGTAAACAAATTTTTCAGTTCATCATTGAATTCAGTGATGTCAACATCCAGCTCAGTTTAAATAGTATCTTTGCAATCAAGTCAACGGTATCGCTGGAAATGAAATGTAACGTAGTGTCTCCATATACATCTGAATTAAGAAAAAATAATTGGAAAAAAATGAATGAATAAGTATCTAACAATAATCAATCAATTAATGACCTTATGAATAATAGAGAAAAAGAAAATCAGACTCAAGTGAGGTATAATCGCCTATGTGAGTAATAGTCAACATTCACCTGAATCCCATCTCTAAGTCCTAATTAGATGTTTCACGCTGTAATTATTGGATGAACACTGAAAGTACATATTTAATACGTTTGCATCACTGTGTGTCCAGAGCAGACACAACTGGTATTAAACTAGAGAGCTGGAGTTTGATAAGCAGTTTTGAAGGACAGTCATAGCCCAGATATGCAACAAAGGAAATACTATAGAGGGAATAACTTCATAATAAGTTAATAATAATGAACCACAAAAAATCCAAATGTTTCCATTTATATCCCTATCTTTACATGTCTATATCATTCTTCAAGGCTGTTTAGTTGTTAAATTGCATCAATTCTGTTAAATTATATATTGTATATAATAAAAAGCATAATAGTAAATAAAATAAATCCAAGAGTCGTTCTATACAAAACCATTTGTGTCTCTCATGAGTGTGTATAACAATGCATCACACGCCTGTTATCAGTTTTCTCTTTTAACAACAATGAACTATTCTGTAAATCAATAAAACTTTGTCATTTTTCAAGTGGTAAAGTTTTGAAGGACATTGTTTTTTAGAGGATGATTTTAAAATGTCATCACTGTTACCTTGATTTTGTAGTAAACTGATAACTATTTAAAGTAGATATTTATCAACATATCAGCATTCATTTATAAGAAGCACCTTGCAGTTTCAAAACCTTCGCGCTCGTGTCTTGTAATAATGTCAAACTGAACTGTAAAAACTGTCAACCCTGTTACATCCCTTAAGTCGAAATTATATCTGAAAAAAGGCACCCGTGGCCCTTAAAACTCTCAAGTAATATAAAAGTAAAAGATCTGTTTACAGCAATCCCAGTTGTGTCAATAATGTGTCTAAATCCAGCAAGGTCTTCAAGTGGCTTTAAATTGTATTTAAATTTAGATTGTTTCATTTGTTAAGTGATAAATAGAAAAAAGCATTCATGAAAATTTGCCAGAGGCATTACACTGACAAACCTGACCTCTCCTTGTTTCAGCGATGTGTAAATAGCAATAGAGCAACATTTGATATTAAGCAATAATTTTCCACAGATTGGCACGAATCAGTGATACTATACTCTGTGTGTCCAGGGTGTGGATTTTGACTCCTCTTTGTAAAGCACAAAAAGGTTCAGCATTTAATGGAGTGTTTGCTGTATATACTGTAAGGTATCTGTTTTTCTGGTAGTGCACCAAAAGATGTTGTTGAAAAACCATGATCATGTGACACTGATGGATAACATGGAAAACCACAAGAAATGAGCCCTACCCCTGCGTATTGTTAATTCTACATTCTTAACTGTGAATATGATTTCTGATGAATTTACTGTTCACACTACATAATTCAAAGAAGCCTTGATAAACTTGCTGCTATGATGACACGGGCATCTGTAATGTTTATTTTTATCATTAACTTTTTAAGCTTGCATCAGACCAGTTATCAGATCATCAGCCTGTGACTGTGCCTCACAAAACAAATCAGTCACAGCCTGTCTGCTATGATGTAAAGGCTTATAGTTGTTTTGACTGTCTTTATAGAGTTTGAAAGAACTGAAGATTTTAAAGTTGCATGACAACATATTAGTTTCACATTACAGGATTAAAAAAACAATAAAAACATAATAGCATTACAAAGAGCCTCAACGAGTGCCACCCAGAACTATTTGAGTATAAAAGATGTTCCCCTTTATTATAATTTGTGAGAGATGCCATGTGATTACTAAATAAGTGATTTCTCAAAGACTTTGACATCACAAAAGTTTAAAAATGCCAATATTAGTTTCACATTGTTAACTTTTCATACATGTCATCTGGTTTAAATGCAGGAGCTTCTGATTGTTTAGCACCAACTGTTGGGAGATTTACATTTGCAAATTCTGTGTGAATTGTTTAAACAAACGGAAGATTAATTTCATCCATTCAAATAGCTTACATTTTCAGTGTAGCATGTGTATAGAAATAATACTTTGCATTAACTTACAGGTGGTCATTGTGGCTGTGTTTTGTTCAATTAAAGAATACAATGGTACATCAAACCCTGTCCAAAAAAAAGAGAGAGATTGTAATCAATTACATCAATTTTCATTTTTATTTATACATTTAAACATTTAAAATGAATGCCACATACCATCTGCAACTTGGGTGTAATATACAGAGAACCGGCCATTTAGCTGTGCTATACGAGACGAAAAGAGACTTTACAATCATGCATAAAAGTTACATTATGTTTCTTTCTGACATAAATCCTTATTACATTTAACTTTCGCTTTCTGACATACTAATAGCACATCTTACTGTTGCACAAGAAACATCTACTCTTAAATTCACTCATTTGAAGGAAAACAACTGCAAAACAAGCAAATGATAGAGGGCCTGCTGTTTAGCTGGTTCTGGTTTCTGTCTGAATACATGTTCAGTTAGAGTCAAGGATGAATATGTAACAGGAAGTATACACATACAAACTATGTTCTGATGACAATAACAGTCATCACTTTCTCTCTCGTTTTTAATAAGCCATTGCTCTGACAGTGACAACACAATAGTGTTATACGTTTCATGGATACAATTGTGGACTTACTTTGGCTGTTGGTTTTGCATCTTCGTGTTTTGAAATACAGAATGACACAGATGGTCAGTGATATGAGGAGACACAGAAACACTGTTGTGGTCATCACTACTACTGTCAGATTATTTGTCACTGTTGCACTCTTGGGCTCAGTGTTGCTTTCAGCCTGGCCAAAAGGACTGTCAGCGGAGGCTGGAACATATGTGATCAATAAAGAAAAGACCATAACAACACTTCATTTGAATAGATTATTTTGATCACACACATGCAGATAAACAAACACACATATTCAGGCTCTGGTCTTGCCTGTGGCTAACAATGTTGTGGAAAGTGTTTCCAATATTGTTGTCAAATGAGGTGTCTCATAATCTATAATTAAAATTAAAATATTAATAAATGTATCTAAAAAGTATGGTTAAACTCAGCATTCTTTTTATAGAGACAGCAGCCTAAGAGTAATTATATTTGGCCTTTCAAAGACTTCATCTGAAGCATAATGTGATGTATGCTGAAGTTTTTGGTGTTATTAATCTCTTCAGAAGATATTTAGACTATAATAAAAATGTTAAACTATTATAGTTTAAAACTATTAAACTATTATAGGTAGACTGTCTGTGCATTTGTAAAGGGGATTTATACAGGCTACATAATTATGCCACTTAAGTGGCAAAACCTGACTCATTGAATCATTTACTCAACTGATTCATTTAAACACCACGACTGTGTTCCTCATAGAAGCAATAGTTTATTCTACTTTGACTTTTAGAACAATTTTTGTTAGTATAGGACTATTAAGGTCTAAATATTATTGTGGCTGATTATCAGTGCTTGAATCACATTATATTTGGAAGAACACCACTATTTCTCCTCATGTGATATTGCTTAATTAGATTAGATTTGATTTCAAAATATTGCATTGAAAACACACCTTTCATAACCAGCTTCATCTCATAGCAGGTTTTTTCATTCGCTCTGCACCGATACCACGATTCATCAGTGTGGACTGCATTCCTTATAAGCAGAGATCCATTCGCTTGTTTTCTCACTCTCTCATACAAAGGCTTTGGCCGTTTTTCTGTAGTGCTTAAGGGGTTGTATAGAAGGCGATATTGGGTTATTTCTGTTGATTGGCGATCATTAAGGATTTTCCAAGTAACTTGTTCAGTTCTGTTTTGTAGAGGATGTTCAGAGCATGGCAGTAACACTGAAGAGTTTAGCGTTGCATGAACAGCGTTCAACATTAGACACTCTGAAAACAGAGTAACACGGAAGTAGTCTTATTATATATACAGCTCTCCAATGGTGATTAGTTGCTTGTTTAAAATGTTTGCATTCTCACTTATAATACTCAGGTTAAATCGAGTTGAATGAAGGCAGTCCTGATCCTTGTAGACCTGACAGTCATAAAAGCCATCATCGGATGATCTGATGTCTTTCAGATGAAGTGTGACATTTCCAGCATCTTTCCTCACAGACCATCTCTGGTGCTCTGATGCTGGAGAGATGTCTGGATATATCAGGATGTCTTTATCTTGGTTTTTCTTGTGTAGTTTGACTGTTAGAGACTCCAGCGGGTGGGTTGTGGTTAGGCAAGAAATAGACATATTGTCACCCTGAACACAGTTTATGTTCAACTGATGAACATAGGGTCTCCGTGTTTGAGCTAAAAAGGAATTAAAAAGAGAAGTGAGACATCCTGAGAGAACTGAGACATGGAAAGACAGGAAACCACCACAGGGTTTACAATAAAAAACAAGTCATTTTCTCAAATGATCCACTTGGTTGCAAGTGTATAACAATATTAAATCCATAAACTGACTTTTATATCCATTTTATATAAAAATACTGTCTGGGTTAATCTTTGCACAAAAAAAAAGATTAAAACAAATACTGTTCTTAATGACATGCTTTCTTGCTTTAAAATGTAGCTAGAACACAACTCATTTGTTAGCACAACAACTAAGAATTGAGGTCAACAGAAATGTCCAAATAAGTAAGAACTATGTAACATATGAATGGCATTGATTATATTCATGTCACACCCGTGCCTCATTTACACACCCTCAGTACTTTGATAATATTCATACCTCTTGCTTGTATGGTGGTTAAAGGAATTTGACTTCAAATAAAAGACACTCACCTTTACATTCTAATAAAGCTGCTATTAGAAGATACAGGAGTTGGAAATATGAAGACTGAAAACTCCTCATCATATCCAGACGCTCACTGCAGGACAGCTGAACTCTATATGAGCACAGGCCACATCACTTCACTTTCACAGAGTTATATCAGTTACTCTGAATTTAATGCGGAAGTAGGAAATATGGGCTAATTATGTGTGAATATAGAAGCCTTCATTGTGCTTCTGTATGCAATGGAGAGTTTTCAGATGTCATATTTGCAACTTTTAAATCTTATAATAGCAGATGTATTACTATTAGAAAGCTGCCGTTAGATGTGGAGGATTGGAAATGCAGTTTGAAGATTAAAAACACCTCATCAAATAGATAGTTTCGAGTAGCTCACTGCAATACAACTGAATATGAGCACAGGCCACAAGACCTTTTACCTGAACAGTTGTTTTTGAAGAGCTGAAGTAGGAAATGTGATCTGCGTAAAATGTCAGAGACGAGCAATTTTGCACACATTCTAATAATTAAAACAATTAGCTACATGAGTTAGTTATTTTAAAGATAACATTCAACATATTTAAAGAAGTACACTTTCCCTGTAAACACCTATTAAAAACATGGACTCTAAGCTGAGAATGAAATCAGTCATTTCTAAACCTTGATTTCTCATCTCGAAGAGCTGTAAAACAGGAACACAATGTTTTGGATTATTAATGGCATTTCCCTTTGTATTACTTTTGCTTTTTGTTACACTGTAAAAAAAAAATACGAGTACTCTCTGCTAACTGACATTTTTAGAAAGATGTACAAAACTTAAAACTAAATTCAATCATGTTCCTTCCATCTGTATTCATTCAATTTATACAAACGAAAGTTTCTAATTTCTTCAATTTATCCCTAAGTTAAATTAAAATACTATGGTCTCACTCTCAAATTGTCTAAATTGCTAATTTTTGTGGAGCTCAGTTATATTCTCAATTCAATTGGCTTTAACTCTGAAAAAAAAAAATGTTTTTACACTCAAACTAAAGGGATCATTAAAGCTCTTTCACAAAAGGCCCTCTAAGGTGGACCTGAGGTCTAGATTAATAACAAAGCCATGTCTGAATGTATTTGACTCAATGACAGTTAAAGTGTCAGGTGTCTCAGTGTGTGAAAAGCTGTTTCCTCGTTTTATGGACAGAAAATAATTTAACCTGAGATTGCACATCTGGTTTATACAGTAATTATGGTGATGTGGCGTAGCAGTTATATATATATATAT